GATGGAACCAGCCCTGCCCGCACCTCCGTCTCGGACGTCTGGCCTCCAGCACTGTGAGGGAATGGATTCCTGTGGTCTGATGCCCCCTCGGCATGTGGGACTTCGTTAGGGCCACCCCAGGACACTCCTGCAGCCACCGTGGAGGCACATCCACGCTCAGGCCTGGGCTTTTGGGGCGGGAGTCTTGGCAGAAGGTTCACTTCTTCGAAAAGGAACGTTATGCTGGGGGCACGCCGGGCAGCTCTTACTGGGCCAAACCCTGATCTGGTGTCCTTCCTAATGGGGGGCGATCAATAAATCCATCAGCTATTATTTATTTTCCTGGCTGGAGTGGCCTAAGAGCCTGCCCTGGGGATTATTCTGTCCAGGCGGTGAGATAAGGCCCCAGGGGGCTCCTGCAGTGGGAGTTCCCAGGAGTAACAGGTCAGCTGCCGAGCGGAAGAGAACGCCATGAGGAAGTGCCCAGTGTGGGGCCTGGCACACATTGAGGCTCAGAAGCCTTTGTTCATGAACCTTACTGTGGGCTGCAGTCAGATCTGGACACCCGCCCACCCAACCCTCCCTCCTGCCTGGAAACTCCTGCCCGTGCTTCAAGACCCAACTCGAATGTCCCCTTCTCCCATGAAGCAGGACTGCTCTGATTCCTCCAGGGGCTCCTTCATCTGGTCTCCCATAGTCTCCTCTGCCTCCAGATGGGACCTGTCCCGGGGGTCCCATGATTTCCTGGGGTCATATCCTGTTCTTCCTCTCTTCATGGCTCCATTTCTTAAGGTGTGGTCTCATGAGCCCCCCCGTTATCCAAGTCCAAAACACTGTGTTTCTTGAAAAATGCAGGTTTCCAGGCCAGACTCCACCCCAGGCAACAGAGTCAGCAGTCCCCAGCTCTCCAGGAGGTCCTCTCCAGGAGGGTGCGTTGTGGCTGGAGGGCAGGGTTAGGTGGCATCCGGCTCGGCTCCTCAGGTGTCGCGCTTGGCCAGTGCCTGTGGGAGAGGCTTTCGAGCCGGCCCTCTGCTTGACTGGGTGGCTTCTTCAGGCCTGGGCTGGGGCACTTGGCTGGTGGCACTGCTGGCTGGTGGGTAATGCTGGTGTTCTCCTGGTCAGGACACTGGTCACTTCTGTCCACTCTCCTGAGAAGGTGGATTGGCTCATCATGTGGTCTGTACATCAGATGGCTCCAAGTGAGGATTGAAAAGCAGAACCCTTGCAGGAGCCTAAGGTGGAGGTCTTGGGAGCAGGCCATGGCTGACATACTGCGTAGTGTCATTCGCCTCTGGCCCTGCCCCTCTCACAAGAATGATACCGGGATTGCAGATGGTGGTGTGTGCAGAGTGCCGTGTTCCCTTCTCACGCCCTCTCCTTGTGCTTGGGGCGGATTGGTGCACCGGACGGTTCCAGGCCTCTGTTGTCCATCTTTCTGCCTTGTACGCACCTGCCACAGTATTTTTGGGGCTGGCCAGTTGTTGAGCTGATTTCAAACAGCCTTGCCAGGACTAGTTTCTCCATCTGCAGCAGCAAAAGGAAAAAAAAAATTTTTTTCAACCTCTAGTGGGGAATTTTCCTAGTTATTTTAAATAAGTTTCATTTATTTGTGCTTGGCATTCAGATAAGAATTACCAGCCTTGCACAGATGGAAGTTCAGAATCGTACAAGGAATATTGACAGCAATTGCAACCTCGTCACCATCTCATGTGATCAAATGCCCCAGATGCCGTCAGAGGAAAATGTAGCATTTGAAAAGCTGCAAGCGAACATACTCTCCATCAAACAAAACAGGCCTCTCTGGAGAAATCCAGGCAAGGATGCTTTGAGAACTCTGCAGGGATGTTCCACACATCTCCTTACATTTCTGTTTGAATTGTATTAAAGGAAAAATTTAAACCAAAGATCTTGCCAAGTAAATAAACTATAATCCCTGCCAGACTGAATTCAGCTGCATGTCCCCATTGGGCTCTATCCAATATTGAGAAGCAGGGTGAAGTTGTGGAGCATCTTCATGCCTTTAGGGAGAAGAGTGTATCAGTTAGCAGCTGCTGTGCCACAAATAAACCCCACAGCTTGGTACCTTGAAACGACAGTTTTTTCTTCTTGTTTATGAGTCTGTGGGTCAGCTGGGTACTTCTGCTGATCTGGACCGAGCTTGACTAACCTCGGCTGGGTTGACTCATGCACCTGTGGCCGGCTGGTGGACTTGGCACCTGGTGTCAGCTTCATGTGGTTTTCAGCCTCCAGAAGGCTAGCTCAGGCTGGGTTCCGCGGCAGAAGATGGAGTGAGCAAGCCCCACTGAGACCTGGCCTTGGAGCCGGCACACCATCACCTTCAGGGCGTCTTTTGGCCAAAGTGTCAGGAGGCCAGACCCGATTCCAGAGGAGGGAAATAGTCCCTGTCTCTTTGTGGGAAGAGCTCTGAAGTCCCATTACAAAGAGAGTGCTTAGGGTCAGGGGGTGGTGATGCTGGGAATGAGCCCAGTCTTGAAGGCAGGGTCTGAGGGATGGGAAGGCTGCCTTGAGGACACTTGGGCTTGACCACAGGGGTCAGCACTGCCAAGATGCATGGCAATCAGGATTGTGTCCATGTTCATCTCACTTCTGCCTTCCCATGAGCCTGTCCTGACACTAGCTTTCCCTTCCCCGGGCCTACTGCCCTCACCTGTCCACACCAAGTCCACTTCCTGGGCTTGTCCACCCTGCTGGCCCTTCACAGTGGGGTTCCTCGCACCTTGACCCTCTCTCTCTGCTCTCCCTGGGCCGGGGTCTCACCTGCCCCGGGGCTTCAGCCACCACCTGAGTCCTGACTCGCGCAGGCCTCTCCTGTGTTACCTGTCTCCCCTGGGCCTGTTCCTGCATTCTCTTCGGACTTGGCAGGTCCAAATGTATAGGCCTCCCCCTGAATCTGGTCCTCTCCATCTCAGATGATGGGCCCTTTGCCCCCCAGCTGTGCAGGCCAGAGGCCCAGACTCGTGGGCCACCTCCAACTCCTTCCAGTGCTACATGCTTCTTCCCTTTTCCCCAGACACCACCTTCTCTGGCCTTGGCAGTGTCATAGCCTCCCACCTACCTTGACAGGCTTGGCTGCAGGGCAGAAGATAGATTGGAGGTGGAGTGGTGGAGCATCTTTGAAAAATGCAAATCTGATCATACTGATTCACTGCCTGAAATGCTTTCCATTGTTCTCAGGGTAAAGACAAAAATGCTTAGAAGCTTCCTCCAGCCAACCTCAGTGGGCACCCCTGGAGCCACCCTTCCTCCAGGTCTTTCATTTCCTCAGAAGGCTGAGTCTCTGGGGACCCCAGGGCCTTTGCACAGGCTGTTCCCGCTGCTTGGAGGGCTCACTTCCTCTCCCTCTTGACTTGGTCATCAGTTTGATGTTACCTCTTTTAGGAAGCCTTCCGTGACTGCCCCCACCTGGAGGCCCAGTTATCTTTTCCTGTGCCCCTGTGGGTCTCCTTATAGCTCTGAGCACAGCTGCAGTGCAGTCACTCCAGGGTGTTACTTCACATCCGCCTGCCCTCTGTGAGGCCAGGGGATTTTGGGTCTTAGTTGTTACTGTGTCTCCAGAACCTGTATGGCACCTGCTCTCTGAAAGCTCAACAAATGGTTGAGACCAGTGAATGAACGCATCAGGGACTTACACACAGCAGCTCACTGGGTCCCGAATGCAGCCTGGGGAGGCAGAATCGCTGGCCTCACTTGACAGAGAGGAAACAGGCTCAGGAGGCCAGGGCTGTCGGGAGAGGAGACGTTGTTGCAGCCATGCCCCCTGAGTCCAGAGCGGCTGCCTCGCCACAGCACCAGTGCTGACTGGTGTAGCCCCATTATCCTGTCTTTATGGGTTTCGGTCTTTTGTCCCTGATAGGGACCCTTAGGAATGGGGTCCTGTCTGTCCCCTACAGTGCCCATGACAGCTCATCCCTGCGAAGCTTGCTTCTGGTGTGGGGGACCAGTGGCCCGTGGCTCTGGTGGAGGCAGGACTGAAGAGTGACCAGTCCCTCAGAAACTGCATCTGACCACATCCCATGTGGCAATGTTTTATTGAGAAGAGAAAGATCTTGTTGCCTGGTCCCTGAGTCACTGATGAAGGACAAAGGGAGGCTGTGCAGAAGTGGGAGGACAGCAGGCACAGGGCAGTGGGGCTGCATGCCCACTTTCCAAGGCCAGATGAGCACATAGGCATGTGGCACAGTACACATCCATGCACGGCCATGCACATGTGGGTGCACAGTATACATCCATGCATGCATAGCGTGCACCTGCATACATGTGTACACCCCCATACATTGCATGCTGAACAATATACATCCACACATATGCATATTTCAAGCACACACACAGGAACATGCATATGCATAATAAACACCCATACATATTCACATACATGAGTGCATGACCTGCACACGTGTGCATGCACATACATGCACAATACATATCCATGCACACACCCGCACACACCCTCACACATGTACACCCCACACAGTGTACACACACATGTGTACACATCTGATGCACACACATGCATACTCACACATGTGCATGCAGATTTCTGTGGAAGGCTCTCGTGGAGGGGAAACCTTGCCTCTGGGTCAGAATGATTAAGAGAAGATTCTTCAGAAGTGGCCCTGGCTCTGTGGTAGACAGTATCTGTGGAAACCAAGCCAGGTCTGGCTTCCCAGCTACTTGGAATGGCAAGAGGTCCTCCCCTGCCAGGTGGCACCTGCTGCCCCAGGCTGTGTGGGCACAAGAACAGCCCTTCTCCTTCCCCTAACAGGAAACCAGGTGGAAATCCTATTCCCCATCTTGTATGATGGGAAAGCACCTGCAAGCTGGAGCTCCAATGGGCCAGAGAGCATCTACGAGGCCTGCGTACTCCTTTAAAGGACTCATTTTCCTTCTGTTGGTGCACATGCGCGGAGATCAAACAGGAAGCGGTTTGGTGGCTCTGGTCTCCCCTGCTTAGCTGCATCCACTGTCTTCTGCTCCCAGTGTGACCAGCACCTGGAGCCGCGGTTGGCATTGCCTCCTCTGACTGGGGTGGCGGTGATAAGGATGAGGCAGGGACAAGGGTGACCGCTGGAAAAATAAAAGATAGACCCAGCCTGGGTATAGGTCTTCCTTCTTGTTTCTGGGAGCCCGGCTGCATCCAGTATGTCCTGGGTGCACTAGTGCATCACAGTCTATGTGGGCCTTGGGTTAGTGCTGTTGAGACCGACTCACCTTTGACCACAGGTATTTGACCCCTGCCTCCCTCCCACAACCGCGGCTGTGGAATTCTGATGTACCATGTGACCTTCTTGGGTCAATGACCAAAGCCATTGATTTGTGACTGGAAGTCACATCTGTCACTTTTAGAGAAGGCTTATGGTGGAGTATGTGGTTCACTCGGCTCTCTCCCCTCTCTGCCATGACCACCAGGAATGTTCCAGAGAGAGGCTGCTTTGTCAGCCTGGGTGTGAGGAGCTCAGTGGACTGCTGATGGAATTGTAGCGTGAGCAAGAAAAATCTTTGCTACTAAAAGCAACTGGGACTTGGGACCCTTTGTTATAGCAGCAGAAGCTCCACGTGGTGATGGCACAGACACACAGGGCTCCCTGCCCCACCTCAAGGGCACCCTGCCCCTGTGTAGTGTCACACACACGTGCAGGCCCAGATGCCAGGTGGACAGCCCACCACTCCCTGCAGAGCCTGCACAGGAGCGGGCCTCCAATCAGCTGGTTTGCTTCAAGCTCCCCAACACCAAGAGCCCCCGCCCCGTTCTTTGGTCTTCATACTCAAGTGCCAGTTACCTTGGGTATCTGCAGGAAGATACTACCTTGCAGACAGTTTCCGCAGCACGTGACCTTGGGAGCTGCATGGGGCAGGCTGGGGGTCGGGGCACACGCCGAAATGAGGGGACAGGAACCAAGCTCGGGCTGGGTTTCTTCTCTGAGATATGGGGACGGTCAGGAGCTGGAGGCGGGCTGGCTCTCTGCTGTAGTGGACAGGCCATCAGGAAACCTGGAGGGACTTGGCCAGTCAAGGGCACGAGCTCGGCCTTGCGCATCCCCTGGCATCCGGCCCTGGATGGCCCCCTGCCCGCATTCCTCTTTCTCTTCAGTTGTTCTCTAAAGGGAATTAGGGCCACAGCACTTTTAGTTAAAGGGCAGCCTTGCTCTTATTCCCTTTGGATCTTTGATCCGAACTCACCAGTGCCACACTTGGCATCCTGTTTCCTCGACATCCCCCAGGCCTGGCTCCACATCTTATGTGGTACATCCTACCCAGCGTTTACCTGCACTGCTTGGAAAGGAGCAGGTGCGTTAAAGGCACAGGAAGTGTCCGGGGCACTTGGGATTGTGGGGGTCGGCGGGATCCTGTGAGTCTCAAATGCAGCCAGTTTCCCTCTAGGCCGCCGCTCTTGGGCTGCTGTAATAAGCCAGGAAGTTTGGAGCCGGAGTAGCCGCAGCTGCGTGAGCTGGGTGTGAGTTGGTGGTGTGCGCCCTGCTGTCAGCCTTGGGTGAAGGTCCTGTGCCGGGAGAACAGTGGAATTCCAGAATGATACACCGTCTGCTCAGAATCCACATGTCAAGCAATCCTACACCCATTACCTGTGCCTCTGGCTTTCTAGAAGAATCTGCATGTAGGTTTACATTTCTGTGTTATTTTGTGATTTTACTTTTTAAAGCCCAGCCAGGGTGCTCCATTACCACAGACATTGTGAATTCAGATGACATCTCAGCAAACAGTCGAGGGTGTGGGAAGGGTGCATCGACGTGCAGGTCCCAGGATGGCCAGTGAGTCCTGGCTTTCACCCCGTGCCTTCAGGGAAAGGGGCAGTCCTGTGCGGGCAGCCCACAGCTGCCTCCCTCACTGTGGCCACGGCGGAGGACAGGCAGGTCCCTCCGCCCACGGGGGTCTCAGGCGGGAGAAGCAAGCACCCAGCCTCCACCTCGCTACGTGCGCTTCGCACGGTCTGCTCTGTGTCTGGCCGCCTGCCTGCTTTGCGTCCCCGACTCACCAGGACTCATTTAAGGCTGGCACTTGTGCCTTGTGCTTCTGAGAGCTGGTATGTTTACAGAGCTTCTGATTCCCCTGGACTCTGTGCTGCCCTGGCACTGGCGGAACCCCTGCTGGGTAGGGGAGATCGGGGTGGGGGTGAGCACCATGAGCGCCCCTTTCCGTTGGAAAGGGGTTTCTTGATATTTTCAGCCAACTCCGCTCCCCCCTCCACCCATCCGCCTCCTGCCTACCAGCAAGCCAGCCAGTTCCCAGGCCAGGAAGCAAGGACACTCTGGGGCCAGGTGGAGAGGCAGCAGGATCCTGAGCCGAGCGGATGCTTATTTTTAGGAGCCTGTGGGCACTGCCGCCCATGCTGGGTCCACACAGCGGTCCCTGTTCTCCACCCCCTGTGGCAGTGGTCCAGAGCCACCCTGTGCCAGGGGACCTAGGCTGGCTGTAGGGTGGAGCTTTGACACGCAGGTTCTTGCCCCCATGCTGCTTTGATCCGGAGTCACTGCCCTCTGGCCTCCCTGCTGTCAGCCTCCCCCCAGCCTCCCAGCCCCGCCTCCCCTCCTCCTGGTTTCCAGGGAGGAGGCGGGTTGACCAGCTGCTCCAGGAGCCAGAGCCAATTCTGAAAGAGGCAGAAATGAAGCCACAAGATTCATGTGCCGGAGAGGCGGATCTTAATTGGCAGAGCATGTGCCCATTGCTTTTAACATTTGGAACTTAGAAAACCGCTCCCTCTTCTCAAGGACCTGGGCCCTAGGGACACAGGCGTTGAAGGGCCTCTCTTCTCACAGCCCCTCATTAGGCTGGTTGAGGACCTGAGGTGCCTGGAGCCTCAGGCCACACCTGGGATTTGCATAACCCAGAGGCGGTGTGAGGCCATTTCCAGCAGGGCTCGTGTGCCTTCCCTGACACCCACCTTTCTGAATTGCTGGTCTTGACTTTCTCTCCTTTTTCATCTGTCCCGGGCCCTGAGGAGGTAATTTGGGTGCCTCTGCTTCATTTCCTAGAGTCCTTGCAAAGTTCTGGGAAGAAGGGTGAGTTCCAGGGTGGCCTGGCTTGGCTTTTGGTGGAGAGAGCAACAAGGGATGGAAGGGCCTCAGGCACAAGGGAGAAAGAGCTCATGTATCCTGGGGTGAAGGGCGGCCAGAGAAAATCCAAGACTCCCAGTTAAACTTGAATTTCAGATTAACAATAATTGCTTAGAATAAGTATATCCCAATGTTGGCTCCTAATATTGTATGGACACACACAAAAGGTTTTGTTGTCTCTCTGGAATTCAAGTTTAACGGGCCATGCTGTATTTTTTTTTTTTTGAGAGGGCATCTCTCATATTTATTGATCAAATGGTTGTTAACAACAATAAAATTCTGTATAGGGGACTCAATGCACAATCATTCATCAACCCCAAGCCTAATTCTCAACAGTCTCCAATCTTCTGAAGCATAACGAACAAGTTCTTATATGGTGAACAAGTTCTTACATGGTGAACAGTACAAGGGCCGTCATCACAGACACTTTTGGTTTTGATCACGCATCATGAACTATAAACAATTAAATAAGATATGATTATTCATTTGATTTTTATACTTGATTTATATGTGGATCCCACATTTCTCCCTTATTTTTTTTTTTAAATAAAATGCTGAAGTGGTAGGTAGATGCAAGATAAAGGTAGAAAACATAATTTAGTGGCCATGCTGTATTTTTATTTGCTGTCTTTGGCAGTCCTGCCTTGGGGTGGGGTGGGGAAGGGCGCTGGGACGGCACCCCTGGTGAGGGAGGAGCCCTGCTTTCTGCATTTTGGTCATTATCCCAGGCCTGAGAGCTTACAGAGGTCTTTGCTGTTTGCCTGCTGAGACGGGTTCCAGAAACATGCCCACGTGAACACTGCTGTAGGTAACAGAGTAATAGGACCGGCTGGCTCCCTTCAGTCTTCCTTTAATACTTAAAAAGTAAGCCGACAGCAGAGCCACCCCCTCCTGAGGAGAGGGGCCCTGGGGTGCAGGGTCTTTGAGCTTGACCTGGCCCTGCACCTGCTGGACCCCACTGCTCCCTGACCCCAGCCCACTGATGTGGCCGAATGCCTTCAGCGTCCGCCAAGAAGGGGTGGTGGGCATGTCGTGGTGGAGGGGCCCCAGCGGGGTGGGCAGTGGGGGAGAAAGCAGCCTCTGCCCCAGGGGGTGTTAGGAGACTTGATTGACTGATGACATCAATTAAGGGATTAGGCCGGGGCTGACATGATCATATTTGATTTTGAAATAAAGCACTCTCTCTGGAGGCGTGAGGGTGGACATCGTCAGCGTCGGCTCTGGGGCCTCTGTCTCAGCTCATACGCGGTGGTGAGCGCAGTGCTGGAAGGAGCCACAGGCCTAAGATGCTTGCTGCTCCCATGGGGGAAGCTGCTCTCTCTCCTGAGGGTTTTAGCCCCAGGCTGGTTCACTATGGATTCAGTGAGACTGAGAAATGACAATGGAATGTTCTTGGGATAAAAGGGTTTATACCCAGCTGTGGATAAAATGAAGGTCCCTGGGGCCAGGATTCTTACCTGGCCCTGGCTGGCTAGCTCACTACACGTGTGGGCAATGCATTGTTACTGACTTTATATAAAGAGCCCTGCCAAGTGCTCTGGGCAACACGGTGGCACGGCTGCAAGGCTGCAGGAGAGCAGAGCAGAGGCTGGAGTGGTGGCAGCGCTGAGGACAGAGGCCCCGAGGACGGCTCTGTGGGTAAACAGGCCCACTGGCTTGCTGCATGTGGATTCGCTCTGAGTGAATGGGATTTTAGTGACTGACCTGCCACCATGGAAATAAAGTTGGGTGTAACCCTTTCACCCCAAGAACGTTCTACTGTCATTTCTTTTGTCACATTGAATCCATAGTGAACTTGCCCGGGGCTGAAACCCACTGGCAACACACCAGCTTTATTCTCCTGGAAGTAGGTCAAGCACTGGAATCACATCTGCACCCAGCAGCCTGCAGGCCTGTGATCCTTCATCTCTGCCTCCACCCAGGGCACTGGGCAGAGCTCTTTATATAGTGACTCAGTCAATAGTAGCTCATTGCCCTTGGGTGTGGAAGCATTAGCCTAGCAGGCAGCCAATTACAGCGTCAAGTAGTCTAGGGTCAGGTGAGGATCCTGGCCATAGGAACTTCCCTTTTCCCCACAGTTGCCAAGCAGGCTTGTTCTGTCCATGGGAGATGGGGCATTGGGAGAAGGGGGCATGGGGTTCCACTGTCCCTGGGGCCCTGTGAATTTCGGTTCCTCTTGGGGCAGAGTGGGGCCAGGCAGCCCGGGGAATTAGGGGTCCTTGGGTTAGATGCTCAGAGGAGCAGGGGGAGGAAGCCAGGTCCAGCATAGCAAGTACATGAACATCCATTCTTGGCCATGTTTCCTGCACCCTGATTAACTGGCAGCCTTCGTGTGACCTGAGGCAGTGAGGAAACATGAGATACATTGGAGACTTAAAAGTACACATTGTAGGCTTGGTACAACTGGATACATTTGTTCTGATACACTTCAATTCCAACTGGGGGTTTTGTGATGGAAGAGAGAGCGGTGAAGTCCAAAGTGAGATAAAATCACCCACTATGTTCTAAGTATGAAAGCATCCAACTAGCGGGGGAGACTGCAGGCTGAGAACAAAGAGGAGGTGCCCGGGGGCTGCAGGGGAGGGGTCAGGGCCTGTCCCCAGCTGGGCTCAATGGGACAAAGTCAGGCCTTCGTTTGGGCCCGTTTTACAGCACAGACCATGAAGTGCCTGTTGGCTGAGACAAGAGCCTGCTTGGAGGCCTCCCCTAGCGGGACGGTGTGGACAAAATGAAAGTTCTTATGGTCAGGAATCTCCCCTGACCCAGTCTGCTTGCCCACTGCACACGTGTAGTGCTGGCAGGCGCAGGCTTGCACACGTGTGGGTGGTGCATTATTAATTACTGTATCTCAGAGAGCTCCGCCCAGGGCCCTGGGCTGCACGGCTGCAGGAGAGCAGAGGCTGGAGGGGGGGCAGCACGGAGGGCAGAGCCTGAGACATCTGGGCGGGAGGAGAGGCCCAGAGGCGGAGACCGGCTACCTGACTGCGGACTGCCCTGGAGGCGGATGGGATTCCAGCGCTGACCTGTCGCCACGAGAGTGAAGTTTGGTAGGCACTCTTTTACCCACAATGTTCCATTGCTGTGACTCGGTCTCAGTGAACCAGAGGGAACTTGCCCAGGACTGAACCCCCAGCAAGACAGATGCATGCATGGAGACCGCAGTGCCGGCGCCTTTGGAGGACTGAGCGGTGCCAGGGGACCCAGAGATCCCTTAAGGATCTCGATGCCTGATGCCACTAGGTCACATTCCAGAGGGCTAAGACGGGAGTAAGGAGGACATCCCTGTGGGTGAGTTCCTGACGGTCAGGCCGAGGCGGGGGACGCGATGCCACACACTGCCCCTAACCGACCACCCGCATCACCGCTCGAGGGCTCTGTTCCCCACTCCCACCTCTCTGTTTTATAAAAAGTTCCTTCCCCAGGGCCCTCCTCGGCCTGTAGCGCGCATCTCATCTGTGGTTTACGGGTTTCACCAGTGTTCTCAGGATATGACATTCTGTTTTTTTCAAAGCCCCTACAGTACCGCAAGCCTTGCAGGGCACCAGGCCCATGGCCCTTCCCAGGGATCCGTGAGGCCTACGCCAGGGCCCAGCCTGAGTGACCCTCCCAGCCACTGGGGAGCTCAGGGACTTGCTGGCTGCAGGGCCCCATCCCCCTGGGCCTGTGGGGTCAAGGTCTTGGGGTGGGGCCTGCAAAGGGCCCCTTTGAAAATGCTGTCTAGGTGATTCTCACAGGTGGGAGGCTTGGGGGCCACCAGCAGTGGCTGCTGTTGGTGGGAAGCACCACTCATACACAGAAAACTCCTGAGATGCAGGGGGCCTTGTTCCCTCGGGGATTCTTACACTGCTGCTGTGCCTCTCAGGAGGGGGCAGTGAGGGTGGAGGAGTGGGGTGGTGGTGATATCTGCCTGTCTGTGCCTCCCTCTGTCCAGCCATCCAGACACCCTTGGAAGCTCTCCTTGGCCACCAGAATATCTTGCATAGGCAATGGCAGATGGAATAAATGCGGGTTGGTGGGTTAGAGTTAATCTACTGCATTTCCCAAACACCCAGAGGCCGGGTCTGAGACGTGTGCACACCCACATTCACAGCAGCGTTTTTCACAATAGCCAGAGGTGGAAATAAGTGTCCATGTGACCATGAATGGGTGAATGGCAGTGTGTCCACATAATGGGATAGTATTCAGCCAGGAAAAAGGAGTGGGAATTCAACACATGCTACAGCATGGATGGACCTTGAAAACCTTGTGCTGTGGGAA